CCAGTTTGTGCCGTCAGCTGCTTTTTCGCTCATCAACTTTGATTACCCTTGGACCTAGCCAGTTTACCTAGCCAGTTTTTGTTAACTTTTTCAGCGACATTCTCACATTGCCTTTGCATGACACAACTCCTTTCCGTATTGGTTCTCTAACTATCTCAGAACGGAGACACATTCACCGGAAGACAGTTTCACGACTGTTTGACACTGCCATTTGGGAGCCACTATGCACTGATTTACACCTTTTCTTGACCTTTTCTTCCCGCGCCCTTCAGCTTGCTCAAACCAACAACCCGTGATCTTCGCCTCAACGATCCAGTGACACTTCGACCAGCCACCATGGACGCGCAGTGGCAACAATATTACTGGAATCATTACTTGCTTCAACAGCAGCATCATCAGCAGCTTGCCAACCCAGACACAACGGTTTCACCTCCCACCGCAACTCACCACACCTACAACCCTACCGGCACTTATGGCCCACTCACTCACGCACTCCGCACGCATCAAGCCCACCACTCTCATCCATACACGACATCACCTTACACACCGCCACCGCAGCACACACCGCCACAACAGGCACCACCGTCACAGCCGGAGTTCCCACCTCCACCACCACCACCACTCCCCACAGCCGACCCAGTCACTCCACCGCCATCGACCTACAAGCACAGCCCACCACCACCGCCAGCTGCCCGCGCAGGCACTGCACCTGCTCCACCGCCACCTCACATCCCATCCCCCACTCCACCCATCCAAGACTCTTGGAACCAAACCGACCACCATTGGGATTCCAACACCTTGCACGGCCACCAACTCTACCGTACAATCCAACCCACACAGTGGTCTCGAAAAGCAGGGGTGGCAGGGCTTCCGACCTTCGACATCTTCCCATGGCAACTGGCGTACCATGGTACCTCCGAATTTACCGCACTCTTAGCAATGGAAAATACACTGGTTTCATTGCCACCAGAAGTATTGCGGAGTCGGTTTTCGTGACCCACCTTCTCCACGAGCTCCGCGAGAAACGCCTCGACTTAGACGGCATCGCCGAGACCCTCCACACAAAACAGGGCACCGACATCCCCAGCAAGACAACACAGGCCCGAGCCTTTCACGCCCCCCTCATCAAACTACTTATCCAACAACTCCAAACTCACTCCCCGGCACCAGCGGAGGGCACCGCTCTACGCGCCCTCAAGAACACCACCGACGAGCTGGCCCGGGCACGCCAGAAGCTCCACGACTTGGGCGACCCACTCACTCCAGTGAAGAACACCAGCCACCCCTCAGCACCGGCCGCCCCATCACATGAGCCCACCCCACCACCACCACCACAACCGCCAGCCCTTTCAGACGTCTTGCAACCTCCACACCCAACATTGCAGGATGATATCCCAGACAACTGGAATCACTCTGATATCCAACATTGGGTCACTACCTTCGACCCTACCGTCCAGGAAGCCGCCAATGAGGTCGTGCGCTTGCTGCAAGCGAGTAAAGTCACTACTCAGCAGCTCAAGGACGCAGCCACACGTTACGGCTTGCCGCTCAATCGGGTCAATCGCTTGCCCATCCGGAGCTTGCAACAGCTTGTGAGTGTGGGGGCAGCCATCGGCTGCTGACTCGCTACCCTCGCCCAGCAGCAACCCAGCCCCACCAACCTCAACCACCTGTTCCACTTACACCGAGCACTCTCCATACTGATCCACCACACCCAATACATTGACCGCGCCGAAGCCATCTTTGCCACTGGCCTTATCCACATCACACTCCTTTTCGCATATCCTTCCAACACCCGTCGCTCACAACAATGGCACAACCGTCTCCGCCAGCTCCACATCCTACCCCACACATACCACTACCACAACTTCCTCTCCTCCAATTCCGTTTACATCAAGCTCCACTTCAATCCTGACCAACCTCAACGCTGCTACCATCAACATGGCCACTTCTATGTGGGCTCCACAGCCATTGGCATTCCCCACCGCGAACACAATCGCCGTGCCAAACTCAAACAACTCCAGAACAATATCCCCATTTCTGCAGAACTCTCCCTACGCTATTGGCACTCACACAACAACATCCACCACTACACTACCATCCAACTTACATCCCACGACACATACGACCAAGCTTGGATCCAAGAACACCACTGGCAGTTCACCAAACACAGAGCCCATTTCTACTCCAGATTAGCAACCCACAAACGACTCTTTCGACGCCTGCGGCAACGCCAGTACACACTCAGAGAACCACACCTTTACACCTCCACCAAGCATCACACCCTCCAACTTCTCCGCAACCTTACCAAACACACAGCAGCCTCCTTTGAAGCAGCCAAAGAGCTACGAAGCGGCCGTCACACGGACCTTGAAGTCTACGCCATCCGGCGTATGGCCGCCAACCTTGAGGAACCCGGCCGCAGCAGAGCTCTTCACATCATCAACAAAGCCCTCCTCTACCGCAACCTCACGCCGCCAAAACCAAATATTCCACTGACAGTGCCATTTCTGGCCCACGACGATTTCACCAAACACTGCCAACAGTGGCTCCGTACTACCATTCAGCAGCACAAGCACTTGACCATTCCCCTTCACCTCCCCTCCCACCGACTGCGCGAAGCCGCACACAAAACCCTACGTTCCCACCTACATAACCACCGCACATGGGAGGGCACCCTCCACTCCCCGCCAGATCCAGCAGACCTCGCCTGCGCACGCGATCATCTTCGTACTCTCCTGCAGGATCCTGACACACCCACCACCAACGGCCACTACATTCTTACACTTGATCAACTCCAACTTCCCACACATCTTGGCATCTTTCTCAACGCCAACATGAACAGCACCTACTACCCAAGCAAGGCCCGATACTTCCTCACGTTCCGGACAGCCTACACGAAATGGCTAAAGCTACAAGGGCCCCCACCATCCCTCGTACAACACTTGCAGCCATTCCTCGAGCACCAATGGCGCCTCCACAACATGCACCTCAAGCAGCAACCCCGTTTTACGGCTCGCCTGCTTCGCCAACTCCAAGAATACCTCGGCCAACACACAGTGCTTCACCATGCCGACCATGAACTACAACAACTCCGGCTGTTCTGCCCCCGCCAATATTTCACTGGCGCCTTGAATACATGGCAATCCCCCGAACTTTTCGAACCACTTCCCCACCTCACTGCCGCCAACATCCACGACCACCTGGCAGCCACTGTTCCCCCCATTTTGCGCACCCGCTACAAATGGGGTTTCCGCAAGGATTTCAGTATCCCCTACGGTGTGGTCCACCTCAAGGAGAAGAAGCAGTGGCAAAAAGGCCGCACCATCATCTCTTATTTCCATTCACTCAGCGGCAACCTACTCCGCATCACCAGCCGTGCCCTCGACATCATCCTACAACACCTTTACCCCCAACATCCAGGGCAAATGTCCATCCCACAGCTCTGGCACCACTTCCACAGCTACCTCACCCAAACCCCGGCAGACATTTCCCTGCACGCCACCAACGATGACCTGGTCGGCTTCTTCAACTCTGTCCCCCAACACAGACTCATTGATGCCGTTCACTCTATGATCCACCACTGGCAACAACAGCAATCCACCCACACCATTACAGTGGATGTCCAAGCCACCGGCAACCCCTTCCACCACTCCCACATCGGCAGACACCACCGCAAGCATCTCACACAACGCACCATCCACACCTCCGACATCACCACCATCGTGGCCTTTGCACTCAACACTTGCATTTTCCGGGCTTGCAACAACACCTACAAGCAAATCCGAGGAGCTGGGATTGGCTCCCAACTCTCTCCAGCCCTCTGTAATGTAGCCATTACACTCATTGAACACTCCTGGCACCAGATCCACAACAACCTCCTGCAACACACCAGCCTACACTTCACCTACTACCGATACGTTGACAACCGCTTCATTGTCCACAACGAACATTTCCTACACCATCCCGCCATCCAAACCCTCATCCACCACAACTTTTTCGGCGACCCGGTGGAACTCGAACCTGTGGACGACTTCCACCTCCTCGGTTTCAACATCGACCTCCAACAACGCACCATCACCTACATGCAACCTTCCCAACCCTGGAAAATCAGGGATTCCACCACCGCCGGGAGCCAGCGCTTGGCTCTGTCAGGCCTCCAATCCAGACTTCACACCATTCGAAAATACACATTTCCACCCTCCAGCGCTGAAGCTGCTGCCGCCGAGCTAGTGAGGCTCTATGTCCAAAAAGGACACAACCACCACGCCTGCCACCGTTTTTTGAAAAAAGCGCCGACGACGGCGACCTGTGTGTGTCCACCCCTGGACCAAGGGTTTTCCACCGCCACTTCCTTCACCGATTTTCCACGAACTTTCACATGCAGGGGGATCGGGGACGTTTGGCTTGGCCTGATCCAACGAAGCTCCAGCCATTCGTCAGGATATTCTCGAGGGACGCCTTGAGAACGTACCTGCTTCGAACACATTGACACCAATGGTCCACCCTGCTGCTGTTTGTTGGTTTCATGGTTTTTCTTCATGATACCCTCCCACAAACAGGTTTTCCACCGCAGTTCTCAACCGCTCGTGAGATGCAGCCGACCGCGCGAGAGTTTGCCACTGCAGTCACGCACAAACAACTTGTTCAACCTTCAAGTGAACTGACTTTCTCGCCATGCCGTTCTCTCACCATTTTCGACCTGGGAACTGAGTTCACTGAATACAAGTGTCAGAGTGTGTGTGAATTACCTTTGAAACAACAAAAGCGCCACAGTCATTGTGGCACGCTGCAATGAGTGACTGGTCACTAGTTGAGAGGAGCAATTAAGATCCGTGAAAAGGTAGCCTGGTAGTATCATCTAAACAGCCCTTTCAAAGAACAAACAGCCGAACCCCCAGGCAATCACAAGCGCCAGAACCTGCTGCTCTCTTCAAGAAAGCGACAAGAAAAAGGCAAATTATCGCACAACATTATACAAAGACTGAGTCCGGCGCTTGCTATGGGGCATACTCCACCTCCCACAATGGTAGAGCTTGAGTGGACTGGAACACCACGAGCTCATCAATATCAATTCCGCGATTTGCGCCGTGACCTGGAGGTTGCCAAATAGATAGAAAAAGTAGATCCCCACTAAAATGTTTTGGAAACCGTTTCTATCTATTTGGAGATCGCTATGCGCAATTTTTGGGCAGCCGCACCTTGTCCAAGGACGGAATGGTGCTTCATCTTCGGCTGAAACTTGCCGGGCGCTCCCGGCCCATTACGTCCTTCACCAAGGATAACCTCCTGATGTCCACAAAGCACCTTGAAAAGGAAAATCACCTTAGGGGCAGCACCTTGGCTTTGAGCAAAACTGTGAGACTTGAGCGGATATGTCGCGAAGTAGGCTCCATTGCCAAAAAAGCCTGGCTTCCAGAAGCGATTGTCGACACCAAGCCTGCACAGTGAAACACGAACCTCTTCAGTGTTTTGCCCCGGGGCATGCCACCCATAGAGCTCATTTTCATTGCCACCATTCTCTCTCTTGATAAGCTCGCGGTGCGCATTGTAGATCCTCTCGAGAAACGCATTCTTGACTTTCCACATCTTCACGACCCTTGTCCCTTGAGGCATGGCAAGATGCTGCTTGGGGTTGTTCGGATCGTCTGGGCTCTTGCCCTGCAGAAGAAAGTCCACCACCTCTCTTGCTTTCCCGTCACGCTCATGGTCCACCAGAAGTCGTATCACCTCCTCCGAGTCCGGCAGCCATTCCAAGTCTGGCTCAATCCGTTGGAAGCCTTTCTTGATCATCTTCTCGACACGCTGTTGGATAAGCATATCCTGCCTCAGCTGAGTACGATGCGGCCTGTCTCGTGCCCGCAGTCATCAACCATTAAGAATTTCGTAGGGATCCCATGTGCCATTGATGCTCTTGACTACTTGGGACCTTTTGAGGGGGCTGTATTTTCCACGCATGCATTGAGAGTGTGCCTCATCATTTGCAGCAAAGACTGTGTCAAGTTTCTTGTTGTCTTTCAATGTTGCAAACAATGTATCATGCGGCATCGGTGCTCCGGAAATTCATGAGTCGTGGCAAGGCTGCGATCAGCAGCAAGGAGAAGAAGCTGGGAGGTAGCACAGACGAGTCCATTAATGAAAAGACACCAGCGACAAGCGATATGAGCGGACCAAAGAAAGGCAGGGCGGTGACACTGGGGAGCTGAGAGCACGAGACCGAAAGAAAAAGTTACGCGCTTTCGCGGGTATTTCTAGGCAGGAATGAACAAGCAATCGATGAATTATCACATTGGAAGAAGGCCCTTCCAAGTCTCAACGCGTTTGCCCGCCACGGACCCGCCGGTGGCAGCCGTTTGAGAAACTGGTTGGGGCACTTCATCGGCACATCGAAGGAAGAGTCCAGCCCAACAGCTCATCGCACAAAGTGAGGCCGTGGCGGCGGGAGCCTACTAGAGAGCCCCGCGATGCAGTGGGAGCCAACAATGAGGAAAAAGCAAGCCCGTTCATGGCCCGGGGAAGGGACGGCAGAGCATGCCACACAGAGAGCAAGAGATCTAAACAAGATATATAGGAAGATTGGCGGGAGAGCGTGAGTTCAAGTTCTTCAGGAGGCTGAATAGCCTGACCCCGGTGCCACATTAAGTCCACACTCAAAGGGGCGCAGGTTTGAAGGAATGGATTCTCATCTCGACAGCTGTATCAATTTCGCAAGGCACAAAAGCAGAAATCACCACGGGCTGCCTACCTACAAGTCAAAACTATTCTAGCTCACCGCTGACCAACCTCACCATCTGGGTTCCAAGTTCTGCGCCAAACGGGACCAAGTTCCTCAACAAATATGTTCTCCCCTTGTGTCAAACCTCGTGGCCCACAGCAACTCAACAGGATAAAACTATTGTGGGCAACGGACGGATGCAACCACACCATAAGGAAGCGCAATCTCATGTCGTGTCATGCCTAAGAAGTGCTTTCGCGTTGTTCACGCGCATCTTCCGAAGCTACCTTTCGTGAGCTCATGGGCGCGACTCCTTGCATTATTGCAAATGAGCTGCGGCTTGCAAAGCTGGAACTTCTTTTGAAAGCAGCGCTCGATCAGCTGGTCAACCGTAAGCTTTGGCACAGGCACTCGCATGCACAAGTCTTTGGGAAAGTCTGCCATGACACAGAGATTGTTCACGCAGAAGTCCACATCCACCATTGTTGGGGCAATGTGAGGCAATGCCATCTCTGCAGTGAAAGGACCTTTGCTGCCCAATGGCGGGTCCTCATTGCCATGGACTGCATCGAAAACGATGACCATCAGCAAGCTATCCAAGTGGATCTGAGTTACCTGCGCTGCATGCGTTTGTTTCTCCTTCATCAAGTGTCTCAACCACATGGTGCAGTCCCTCACTTAGCAACCCAAAACACTTGGCATCAACAATTGACTCTTTTTTGGCATTACCCACCTTGATCCCAAGAGTAGTCTCCACCTTGACCTTGAAGGCCTGCACATCGAAGTACCCGTCGGACGGCATCTGGAAGTCGAGGTCCTGTGGGACAAAGCCAGCATCAATCACAGGACGACCACGAGGTCCACTTTGCAAGAGAAAGGGCAGATCTTGACCCTGAGCATCTGTCACGCATTCGAAGCCTGGAACCACCCAGTCACGGATGAAACCACCTTTGAGCTTCAGGTTGAACTTTGTGATGGCAACCCATGCAACTGCAGCCATGCGGCTTGCTCTTGTTGCTTCCCGGCCATGACATTTTTCCCACAAATCATTGACCGTGCGGTCAACCTGCGTGCACTGACTAATGCGTCCACGCATTTTGTCATAGTCTGAACCCTGGTGCTGCACGCGATGGGGCCGCTGCTGCAAGTAGCTTAGCATCAAGTGTGGATCTTTACAGGCAGCAACTTGGAGGTCTTCGTGCTCCATATCAAAGTGAGTCTTCCCTGCGCACTTGGCCAAGAACAGGCCCGTTGCTTCCACGGCCGCGTCAATTTCCTCTTTGTGAATCACCCGGCAGGAGAATTTGAAGTAGGGTAGGTTCTTGGCAGTAAGGTCTGGACATGTCACGAGCGGCTGGTCCGCTGCGGGAAGGAATTTCTTGCAGTCGATGGTGATTTGATGATTGTTTCTCCAATGGTTGATCCATTGGTTGAAAATGGACAAGTTGTCTCTATACAGCTCAGCATTCTGAAGGTATTGGTCCACCTTGAACTTCCCATGCATGCCACGAGGTGGTTGGAGGACGGCCTTATACTCGGAGACGAAGGAACCATCGGTCTTGAGGAACCTCAATGCTTTCACCACCCCACCTGGATGGCCAGTTAATTTGCAAACCTTGCAATGGGCTGGTACCTTTGCGTAGTTGAAGATGTCACAGCGTACAATTTCTTTCTCAAGATTGTGCTGGCCCAGAGTTGCACCCCCTTGAGAGAGCTTCTTTTCCTCAGAGTCATGAATCAGACAGTAAACCGAGCACGGGGGCAACCAGCGTTCCTGCAACCACTCTTCATCCATCTTGTTGGCGATCTTCAGCATCTTGGGGGTCGATTCACTGAGTGTCTGACTCAGCTCAAGAGCGAACACAAAGGGTTCCGCGTCTTTGAACTTGCGAAAAGCTTTGCTCTGCTTTGGTATGGTGGCAATTCCTTGGCAAACATGCCTTTGATGCTCTTCATGCTTGTAAAGCAGCATGTAGTTCCCGCTGCGACCACCAATCAATGTCTCAGAAATGGCAACCCGATCTAGAAAGCCCTTCATCACCACCTTGCACACATCATTCACACTTGCCTGCTTTCTGGATGAAAGGACCAGCCTGAGAAAGTCCTGCTCATCGCGGCTGGTGTTGGTACCATTGATCTTGCATCCGATTTTCTCCCGGAGTCTCTGGTACTTTCGTCCGAACTTTTGAAGGATTCGGAACATCCTGTCATTGCCCCCAAAGGATCTTCTCACAAATTCCTTCAGGTGTGCACTTCCTTTCTTCCTTGGTCGGTCGGCTTCATCACGAGCAATCTCCTTGTAGGCTGCATCAAAGAGCCTGTACAAGCTCGAAACGTCCCCTGGAAGCTGGCCATCGATGCAGAACGCGGGCACGGACCCCAAGACGCCATCCTTGTCATTGGGCAATGACATCATCCCAGCACAAAGCTTGAGAACGGCGATGCCAATTCCTGCTTCGGCACCTTTCGCCAGAATGCATCTCCAGCGAACTCCTCCAACCTCGGGTAACCACATCATCTGCCGCCCCACCGTGGTAAAGGTGCTTTGGGCACCTTGGGACACAATGCCCAACATCTGAAACAGCTTGGTGACATCCTCGGCCTGATGTGAAAGCCTGCGCATGTCCTGCGGCACACACTGCATGGTCCGCATTGTCTGGGATGCTGCTGAGGGTCTACACTGCTATTTTCACGACTCGAAGTTCATCACTCTCTTCTTCCTTGTCTGTTATCTTAGATTTGATAAACCCCTTTGCCACGCGCAAGACCTGACGCTTTCTCACACATGCACCCAAACGAAAGGCACAAGAAGAAATCAGTAGCAGTAGAAAAATTGACATCTATCATCTGACCATTCCCGTTTCTCGCTGCCTTGTGTCAGCAAGGCCCTCACAGAACTCTAAGGGGAGTTTATGAAGCGCGCATTTAGTGGCACCTTCCTGGGGCGAGCTTTAGGTGTGCGCACGGGACACCAGCCACTGAGGGACGCATCTGGCACCTAGCCTAAGACTTCCATTGTTTCCGCCCAGCCATCTCTACTAAAATGCAGCTCATGACCAAATCAAAGACCCCAAGGCACTCCTGCTCGTGAGCTACATCCACGCACGTTCAAGACTTCCAACCTCAGCCTCCATTGTTGTCTTTGTTGGTGTGTCTCGTGCGCTGGTGTCCCTTCTCTGCAGGAAGAAAATGCCAAAAAGAACAAGTTTTTAGTACTTTCTTGTCTCTCACTTTACGCACCTAGAAGTTTCATGAAGTTTCCCCTTTTCCAAAAACAAACAAGCACATCAAGAGATGGAGAACTCCAGACAAAAGAAAGGAAAACGATCCAAACCAAATCTGAATAGACATGGATAGAACTGGTACTACTACTGACCCTTAATGGTAGGACAGTTACAGTAGCGGGGTTTTCTCAAGATGGGGCCGATCTTGTGTGCCGGGGGTGGGTGACTCGAACTTGTGCATGCTATGTGTGCCTCTGCCTTTTGGAATGCTCTTTAGGTGGGTGCATTGATCTATGCATCCAGCGTTGGGATCTGGGAGAATGGTTTCACATCAAAGATCCAACAGGCCACTTAGCAAGGGCCCCTTCACATGATGCGCAAATCCACTTTAAAGGCAAAAATGAAAACACCTATGCAAACTCAGTAGACTTTGCGAAGATTTGCCAAATGTAAGGTCGCGTGCTCTCGATTGGTGGTCGCACATTCACGAACCGCGGTGCAAGTGGCCGCAGTTGTACACTTTGCTAGTCTCGAATGTCTCTTCGTCTTGGCTGAGCGGCTGAGCAGCGTAGAACAAAGATGTAGTCCCAATTCTTCGTCTTCCAAGCGTTTCCAATTCTTCTGCTAACGAAGAAGAGATTATTCAACAAGGTTATTGTGTTTTATTGCTTTTGGAGGCCCTAACCCGTTTTCATGCGTTTTCAACCAACAACTGCGGCGACTTGAGGGAGGCCTAGGGCTTTTGCAAATTATAGCCGAAATCCCTGAGATTCACGACGCTATTGGATAAATTGGTCATAGAAAATATATAAGTTTTTGAGAAAGCCACTGAAAAGTAACATCATACTGTGGTCTCTGAAGCAAAAAAAGTCGAGGTAACTTGGCAGCTGACAATGAACAGATATGAAGGGAGATTTCTCAATAGGGGGAAGCAAGTTGATCTTCAGTCCTCAGGGTCAATAGGAAGATCGGGTTGCAGCTCTTCGAGCTTCGACTGGAATCTGGTGGGGTTGGCTGCGTGACACCAGAGGCGAAACTCCACATCCACGACGTCTCCTGGGGCGCGAAACTGGCCAAAACACCAGGCCCAAACGAAGGTGCCATGCATGAAGGTGCCTCTTCACATAGATCAACACATGATTACATAACATCTCTTATCCTTTGATTCCGCTTTTGGCGCAGACATACTATGAACCCAAAAACATAAAGGCAAAAGGATGCAAAAGGTCACAGTGTCGAGTCTCCGGTCAGCAACTCCGGCAAGGCAAAGTCACGCGTCACCTCATCACCACGTCGCTTCGCCTGGCTCTGAGAGATGCCAGTCTTCAATTCCCAAGTCCCACGGTAGGTGGGATAGTAGGTGCCATCCCTGACTCGGCCACAGCGACCACGGCGTTGCCTCAGGGTGCTCCGTGCGGAAAAGGACTCCTCAAGGCGAAAGACATGGTTGGTGGAGCTGGGGACTTTCTGCTTCCCAACATCCACCACGTGCGCCAAACGTGGGACTGTGATACTGGTCTCCGCGATGTTGGTGGCAAAAAACACCGTGCCCCTCTGCAGAGCTGCCTGCATCTCCTCAGCATCCCTGTTGGCATGCAATGCCTCTGCTCCACAAGAGCCCCCCATGCGGCTGGTAAAACTGGCACATGCCTTCTCCACATCTGCGGTTCCTGGGACAAAGCACAAAATCTGCTCTTCTGGCTCTTTCTTTTTGAAGATTTCCTCCACTGCTTGCATGTAGTGAACCCCTACATAGGTCTTGCTGTCGCGTATCTTGTATGGTGATGGAACTCTGATCTCAAACTTCTTCAGCATCAAATTGCTATGCCTAAATGGAAGCAAAGTCTTCTCGTCCAGCGTGGCGGACATTACCACAACTTTCGGAATCCGGCTCTGAGATGCTTTACCCTCTTTGAGCATCCTTGCTAGTGCCATAATTGCTAGATCCAGATTCTTGTTGCGCTCATGCACCTCATCCAAGCAAATCACATCAAAGGGATTTGCAGCGGCAGCATCAGGCCCAATGAGGCGAGCCGACAAAAGGCCATCGGTCATGTACACAATCTCAGAGCCAATCTCACACGCACGATCAGCAGTTTCATATGAAACCTTGCAACTGCCCTGCACTTGCGCTGACACGAACTGCGCAGTCCGCTTGCATGGGAGGATGCGCGGCTGCGAGATGCAAACCTTACCCCTCAACTCGGCTTGCAGCAAGGCGGGCAGGGCAGTGGACTTCCCACTTCCGGTTTCACATTCCACCACAAGCACATCGGCTCGCCGAAAATCCTCGATCATTGCAGCGGACTGCTCATAGATGGGCAAAAAGAGATTTGCAACGGACCAGTGGGCATTAAAGCTTTTCATCATGTCCCAGAGGGCCTGCTCTGAAGGTGTCTTCATAAAATCTCGCAACAAGCGCTTGACATTCTCCTCGAATTGCCCTGCGATGGTCTCAAATCGCCCTCTTACAGACTGGGCGCTCGGCTTTGACAACTTGCTGTCACGGAATTCTTTGATCTTGTCTTCCACAAACCGTTCTGCGCAGGTTTGAAGCACGTTGGCTTCATGATGATAGAGTTTCGAAACCTCTTGGGCGCAGCTCTTCATCGTCATTTTCCAGTGTTCTTTATCGTTTGGGCTATCCATCTCCTTGTGAGCTTCAGTTCGAACAAACTCCAGGCACGTCTCCAAAATCTGTCCGTGCTTTTCAAGCATTTGGTCCTGAACAGCGGTGGCATGAAGCGTTTGAAGGCTGGCCAGCAAAGGAATCTTCGAGAGTTTGCGCCCAAATGGGCCTTTCCAAAATGCATTCCGCTGTCTTCGAATAGAAGCCTCCTTCGCTTTCTCAAGGTTCGCCACGATGCTCTTATCTGCAGAGAAACAATGCCAATCCAACCATCCCCAGTTCTCAACGACCGACTTGGCGAGTATTTGCACATCTTCAGGGCCACAAACGGTCAACCGCCCTTGAACAACGCCAGTTTGGACGAACTCCGCGTGCTCCTGCCGAAACTCGGTTGGGGCATGAGAGGCCGCCCTGAAACGCAACAGGTTGCATGAATCAAGTTCAGCAAGCTGTGAGGGGCATGGCAAGACAAGTGATACAAGGTGAAGGGGAGGGCTGCAGTTGCAAGGGCAAGCAGGCTGCTAATGGCTGCTGAACTGTTTGCTTCCCCAGCTCTCTCACACTGATACAGCAATGCGGCAAGCATCTACAAGTCAGACAAAAGGCCACATCTAAACCACATCAGGTTGTTGCTTCAATTTCCGCTTGATCGACGGAAAAGCAGCCGGAAACATTAGCAAGAAACATTTGCTAGTTGGAGCAGCTTGCCTCAGCTAGAAACAGGTCTGACATGCTGCTACTGCGCTGCACGTTCTACGTCCAGTGTCAGGCAGGATGCCTGTTCAAGTCAGGTGCCCTTGCCTTCCTCCTGCTGCTCTCCCTCAATTCCTGGGTCTGCTTCCTAATGATTGTTTGGATGTGTGTGTGTTGGTTCGCTGTTTCATTCTTGTTTCCTTGCGTGTTCTGGGGCAACTTGGTGACGCTATGCGTCAAAAGGTTCTTCCACACACGAAGGGCGCTCTAGCAACGCAGTTGCAAGGACAGGAGAACAGCTGTAGGGCAGGAATGGGATCTTGGATCAAAAAGGGGTCAAGACAAACAAGACAAGCAATGCTGCTACATGAGCTATTTGCCCATACATAAAACACATGAATATATGCAAATGTATACGTTTCACATATCTGCATATCTGCAAACACGTTCGCGATTTGTTCTGACATGCATCCTCCACGGCCCACAAAACATCTTCAACGGCATTCAAACAAACTCCGTGGCCACTCCACCCTTGTCCTCTGCCACAGTTCCCAGCCGATCTAGAAGTTCGTTGCTCACAATGAGCGTCATCAGCCCTATCGACTCTGCGTGGGGTGGAAGATCAAGAACCTCGAGCCTACACTCTCTCATCTTCAACTCTCGCCTCTGGGCCTTCTCTTGTAAACTTCGAAGCTCTCTGAGGATCTTGTTGTTGGACTCTTCCATCGCGGCTTGCTTGTGCTCTTGGTCCAACATGATCTGCTGTAGCTTCTCTCTGTGTCGGTCATTTGTCGCCAACTCCTCTTGAAGACTAAGGAGGTCTTCTCGCATCTTGTGGTCTTGTCGGCGCCGTTCCTCCTGCTCCCTACTAGCATCCTCCAGCTGCTTCCGTTGAGTCTCATACTCGCGTGCCAACTGTTCTTGTTCTTCTTGAACTTTGATCATCTCCTGTCTTTTCAAGTTGTCTTTCTCTTCGTCTTTCTCTAGCAAATCCGCGACTTGCTTGCAAGGGAGATGTTCTTTGAGCGAACCTCAGCTTTCTCTCCTTCTAGTCTTCGCACTGTTCCATGCAGTGCTTTCAACTGTGTCAAGTGTTCCTGTGACTGGGAAGCTCTCTCCAACTCAAGTTTGCGGATCTCTTCCCGCAGCTTTCGAATCTTTGACTCGATTTTGCCTTCGCGCTCATCGAGTCTCTCCCTCAATTTGCTTCTCGCATCCTCCACACTGCCCTGAGGACGTTTGCCTGGAATCTGAAAAGCTTCCTCATCCTCATCATCACCTTCCAGCTCGGGCTCCTCCTGAACGAATACAGCCTGATGGGTGTCATCTTCCACCTCATCTAAGCCGTCGATCGCGTTCAGGTCGAGTGGACCCTGCGCGGTCCACAGCGGCATCCAAGAAGCTGAAGAGGATTTCTTCATACTTCCCCCAAAGACTTCGAACTCAAAAACCTCGAAGCCCCAATCCTTGCGCCGAAAAGCATACACCGATCCAGGGGTGGCGTGCTCGCGGGTATCCTCACAGGCAACGACAGAAAACAAGGACAGTCGGGCAAGTCGACTACGACACATTTGCATGCAACTGCGTGAAGAGGATGAAACCTCAACCTAGCGAAATGAGACAAAATCCCAGGCTTAAAGTAAAAAACTCAAAAAGACCCTGCTCCAAGCCTGTCGGAGTAAGTAGCTTGACTGCACCGCTGTCTCGTGGCCGGTCTTTATCACGCGAACCTGCCAGGTGCCGTCCTTGTTGTCCTGCAGTAGGCGAACCTGGCAAGATCGAGGGACTCCCAAAGAGGAAGCCATTGCAGGATCACAGAAGAAGCCGTCGCAGTCAGCTTGCAGATTTACCTCCGGCGTTCCATGCGGAGTCAGATTCAACCCAGGTGTGGTTATAAGTTTTTCTGCTTGACAAGGCAACCAACCCCCTGCACCCATGACATGACTTTGTGCAAAATCCGAGCGCAATGGTACCCCTCCGGTTGGCGAAAATACTCGGAGCCAAGTCGTTCAGGTTGGTCCCTTGTACTCTCAAGCGCCACGGCCGAGTGGCATCTCGGACATTTCGGATGAGCCTCTCGAGGGTGGGCTCCATGTCATTCCATCTCTCCCCTGGAACGTTCTCAACGATCATCCACCGTACTGGACCCTCAGCCACACCACACTCACTTCGTCGAAAGAGATAGCTCTTTTTGTGGTCTCCATCGCTGTAGGTGACGACACCATGATTGAAATTGGCTTGCAAGCCCGGCGAGTCCACTGCCACGATCTTCTTGTGGAAAGCCGCCGTCAATGTAGCAGAGGCCTCGGCGCCGACCTTTTCCCACACCCTTGGACCGGGACCATAATGTATCGGAGCATGCTCCCAGCTCAATGATGGAAACTGCTCCTTCCAATGCTTCTGGATCAGCTGAATTACTCCAGAATTTGCGCCGTGACTCCCCCAAGCATTTGGGTCAGAGCTTTGGAAGCTCTCCACATCTGCACCAGCCTGCAGGAGCAACTCAACAATCTGGCAAATATTCTCTGGACGATCACTGCGCCCAGACACTTCGACAGCCACACGCAAGGGCGTGGACTTGGTGTCCTGTGCGAGCGGACTGTCGACTAGGGCGCCCTTTGAGATCAGGAGCTTCACAGCCTCCACATGTTGAGCTGCGATGGCCGCACACAGCAATGTCCGTTGCTCGGGCAACCACACCTCATTAGTCAAGTGGGGGAATTTGTCGAGCAACGGCCCGATTCCACTGACATCATTCACACGCAACTTGTGAAAGCACTGGCGTATCGTTGGATATGCTTTCAGTCTGAGGTCAAGTTCACTGAGGCAACCGAAATCGAAGTCCTTCAGCTCACCTTTCTCACTGACACCAAGCCAGCAAAAGAACTCCTGGATATTTTGGTAAATCCGTGCATTTTGCTCCGAGAGCACCTGCTGATCGAAGTCAAACTGGGAGTTCTGTTCTTCAAGCCATGATTTGAAGCAAGCCTCCAGCCGTCGCTTACACTCTAGGACCTCTTCCTCGTCAATAACCGTCATATCATCCAAATAATCAAGATGGTGACGCTGCAGGATTTCTTCAATGATTCTCCTTGGCTTGTCAACAGCGGCAGCGTCATCAGCTTCAACGGCAGTGTGCTGCGCCTTCAACGTAGAAGGCCCGCCACACGCATCTTTGAATTGGATGAACTTGTCATTGATGGGCTTTCGCAGGCGCTTCAATCCAGACATTATCTTTTTGGCATCTCCAGGTTGAAGATCCCGGTTATATCGCAAGCTTTTGTAGAGTTCCTCATCTTCTTCTTTGCGAAGATCTTGCAAGGTATTGATTTCCAGATCTTCGAAGTGCGACAGAACTGCATGAGGTCCCTTCACCTCACACTCCCTGCAGAATCTTCGCAAGCCTTCATCCACATCCTCAACCATTGCTCTATGACTCTATGACATATTAGGCCTGCCAAACTGGCAAGGCCTTGAGCTGAGCCGCCCAAAGCCAATGGGAGTCAAACTGCAAGTTCATCTTATGAACCATCAAAACCCAACCAATCTGAAGTGGAAACCAGTGTGACAACATCTTACCTTTTGGGCGGCAAGTCGCTCTCTCCTGTTGCGCCATGGAACCTCACTGCGCGCACCCCAACTCACGGAATTGCGCGGAATTCTGCCGCGGTGACTGCCTGAGAACGAAAAAGGGCCATGCTACTGCGAACACAGGCTGCAAGTTCTTGCGTGGAGAACTTAAATCATTGAGAAGCAAACTGCCGTGCACCAGATGCTGCTTACAGCTTGCAGATTGCATGACTGCCGTGGGACGAGCCACTTTCGATGGTAACATCATGCCAAGCTTGATAAGTCATTGGGGGACTCGAGGAGTTGTTTCTTTCTTTTTTCTCCTCACGAGCGCCCAACCATTCAAAGGAATCAAGCTTCAGCTGCACCTAAGAAAGAGTTCAGTCCAATGTTTGATGATATTGAGCATCAGGTAAAAGAGTATATACCACACAGCAACAGTTGTGCTCCCGACGAGCCTGCCCGTAGGCGTCCTCCGGCAAACGCAAGCTCACCTCTAGTATTGACATCAGAAGCAAAGTTGAACACAACTTCACAGCGAACCTATTTACAGCAAAAAGGCTGGAGAAATCAAAAAGCAATGTGCGCAATAGTAACTGTATGCATGCAAAGCCGTATTGTGTAAGCTGGCCCTCCCCTCCACCCTCCGAATCTAAAGATCAACTGCAAGACGGTTCTACCTGTACACCGCATGCCAGCCAAAGCTGGTTGAAAAAAGACAATGCAAAACGGATACCTGGATACCTATGTACCCCAGTCCTGTCCCGGAATCAAGCACATAGGTTCGATAGAAAAAAAGAGCAGGTTCAGAGTTCAGTGGGGTTCCGAACAGCAATTGCCTGCTTCGTGCACAGCCGTTTTGCCAAAATCGAACCTGACGAATCACTTCGGGCTCTGAAAAGTTTGCCACATGTATAGCCGTGTGCTATGGAGCATCGCGCTTTTGACAAATGCCATAACGTCTGTACAGCACAAATCCCCCCCATTCGGGGAGGAAGGTGTGTTCGGCATCCCTTCGCTGCAGAATCCTCAGCCAGAAGCAGGCCAAACATCCTGGTAATGCTTCCCCACCCGATGGTGAGATTCTGATCCAGTTCTCTCCCAGCGCACTTTCACCTCGCCATCAACAGGTTGTCTGATGCAAATTCCTTGATCCTCCTCCTTTACCTCAACTGATTCTCCATGAAGAGCCTTGAACGAGGGCCCACGGACCACCTTGCTTCCAACTTCGGGAACTGTGGTGACACCTTGGCAATACTTGCAAACTGTGTACTCATGACTCTTGCACCTGAGTGCCCCAAAACCTCTCAGGAGATCAACTTTGCACACACTGCACTTCGATTTTCTGCCACACACTTGAAAGTCCTGCAACGGACATCCTTCAAAACAATACCTGACTGCACCTGATGGGATGACCTCCAAATCCCAAAACCATGTATCATTGTCAACTGTCACCTCAACAGAATCTCTCCAGTGATTCTTCACGACGCCCACGCGGCCACAATGCTTCCGCATCTGAGGCGACCACTCAATACGCATGTAACGTAGTCGTGGGTCCCCTTCTGCTGGAAGCGTGATCTTGGAGCCTACCTTGACATGCTCTGCACCATGGCTGATGGGGTTGCGCGGCCGTATTGAGGTTGCATGAGGTTGGAGGGCAGACCCTTGGGGTTGTGATTTGAACTCTTTGCACTCCTCCCCTTCTGCTTTGAATGGCACTCTTTGAGTGGCACCACGGTCCGCTTCTCGCTGCCAGGTTTGGAGCTCCACCCGGGCGTTGCTTAGACGTTCCTCAAGCTCTACGATGCACTGCTCTTTTTTTGCGAGCATTTCCTGTAACTTCCTGCATTCACAGCCTTCCTTCCGGCGCTCGTCCGGCAGGTCCTTTTTCAAGTGTGGGTCACTCCAAGAAGCCGCTGGCATCTCTTGCTGGGCCATCCGGGACATCTCCTTTCTCTTCAACTCCTGCTGACACCCTAGCAAATCTTCCTGGATTTGATGATTCTCCTGGCTCTTCTCTTCCAGCTGTCTCGCAGCATCCTCCAGCCGCTGTCTCTGAGAATGGATTTCCAACAGAAACCGGCGCTGTTCTTCATGCATTTTCTCCATCTCTTCCTGATGCACCTGGTCCTTCTCCTGCCCTTGTTGCAGGAGGTGATGGTTCTGTCTAGCCAGTGTCGCACTCTCCTCTCTGAGTCGTTTCACTTTTTGACGCAAGGAGTCAAGCTCTTCCGGTTCACGCAAATCTGCGATGCATGTCCTGGCAGCATGTGGGCCAGCTCCTCGTTGCTCTGCTCGCTCTAAAAGCCATGATTTGAGACAGTCCTCCAGCCTTCGTTTGCACTCTATGGCCTCCTCCTCACGAATAATTGTCACGGTGTCGAGGTAGTCAAAATGGTGACGCTGCAGGATGTCTTCGATAATTTTCCTTGGCTTGTCCACAGCTGCACTGTCGGCAACTTCGACGGCAGCTTGCTGGGCTTTCAACATCGAAGGCACGCCACATGTCTTGTCTTCCTTGGGCTTTCTCAGACGCTCCAATCCAGACATGACCTTTTTGGCATCTCCTCGTTCAAGATCTCGATTGTATCGCAAGCTTTTGTGGAGCTCCTCATCTTCTTCTTTGCGAAGATCCTCCAAGCAATAGATCTCTCGCTCCTCGAAGTGTGACAAGACTGCTTGAGGTCCCTTCACCTCACACGCCTCACAGAATTGTCGTAGGCTTTCGCCCCCATCCTCCATTACATGGCAGTGTTGGTAGAGATGTGGTCCATGTCTGATGTGCCATGTGATCACAGCTGCCTACAAATGGATATATAGACACAATAATTCAATCTACGAGTCTACGAGGGTTAAATACCAAATATAATACTGGCATTCATTGAAGAGCGGAAGGGCTGTTGTACTCTGCAATTCGGAAAGTCTTTAGTCTACAGTATAGTCTAGATAACTGAGGTTCGACGAGGTGTTGCAAAACGATCAAAATAGTGTGCACATGTTTGCCTGTTCACGATGCGGTTGCTCAAGGACAAATTCTGAATGCTCAATGCTTTCACGGAAAGCTGTAGGACTGCGGGTTCTTCCGTTTTGATCCTCACAAGAATGAATAGGTTTGCCACAAGGATCGAGCAAAACGGCGAGAGCAAGATTGAAATAGTTCAGACAAGTGGGACTCCAGGATTACCAGAAGGATCTTAGGGCAAGACCCCTAATCCCTCAACATCGAAGAGTGATCGCCATCCACCTGAGAATCCGTCGGAGAGGACAATGCACAACACCCTCCTACACCTCTCTGTCTCTCTGTCTTTCTCACTTCCTCCCCTCTCTGTCCATATTGAGAACTGTAGGCAAAACGGCAAAACATTGAGCCGCCCTGCGCAGCATCATCAACATATAAACTCTAGAACAAATGCCACACTCCAAACACATTTCATCTGGCATCTGGCTGCAGATTCTAGCCTGCCAATCACCAATGACCTGAGGCAAAATTATGGGTGAAGCCACTCCGAAACAAGCATGGCCCTGTTCAATCTCAAGGACCACGCCATCCTGAACCCCACACACATGCCATGCTTTTTTTTGGTTGAAGTTGGAGTGCTGGTTGGTTCTTTCAAAGTTTGGCTGAGCTCCGCGCACTCAGAAAGTGGAAGCGTGGCGCTTCCCCCTACTTCACTGCAAGGCTTAACGTCACTGGTTGTCAGCAACCTGTGGCAGCTGAAAGGCTTCTTATCCAAGTTGAGCATCCCTGCAAGTGCACTGAAAGATAGATGAGATGCAATCACTAGTGATTTGAGAAAAAGCACCATTTGCCCACCTGAGAGCAGCATGGTCTGGGAGCCTGGCCTGCAAGACTGGACTGGAAAGGCATGTGACCTCAAGAAGCTTCATTGCAACCGCGATGGAGTGAGCACAACAAGGCAATCGCAAAGAGGTGTGTGTGTGTGTGTCTCTGTTTGTCTGTCTGTCCGTCTGTCGATGCACATTGTTCGGCCATTTCTTCCGGCCTTCTACGAGTCGCATGCTTCAAACAGCTTGCTCTGCTCTGTGAAACATGTGGCCGCTGCGAATCAAATTGCAAAGTCCTTGGCCACTGCCGACCGCCCACGTGGCAGTCTCTAGCCCACACTGGCAGCCAAGTCCCACCACTGCAGCCCGACTCATGGGGAGGTGTGGGGATACGGTATGCACTTTCTGCTCGGTTGTCCAAACCCTGATTGAGGCTTTTGTCGGGCACCCATGCTTCCCCATCTACACGACCCAGGACCTTGGATTGAACATGCATAGGTTGATTACACAGAATTGTTCGCAATGCGCAAGGTACTGCTTTGTCAGTGTGATGTCGTTGGGCTCTGCCACACCTATACAACTGGGCCTGTCTTCACCCACACGAACACGTATTTCCTCATTGCAACCAGCACGATCACCTTTCCAGTTCTGGCAATCAGCGTGCTTCTGCCCAGAACTGAGCCTTGAAAATGATCTGCACCGGTTGCACTAACTGAACCTTCAGGACACTCTCATCGTTCACACTGAAGGTTGCTGACCAGGCGCCCCCCTGGTCCCACACAGCGTTGCCCCTGTGGGCTTTAATGCGGTCTTGAACTCCTTTCCAAAACGACGCGCGCCGGTGCTGCTGCCGAAATCTCAACTGATAGTAAGGCCCAGACGCTGGTGGCCGTCCTTGGTGCCCATCCGTGCCCATCTGCTCTTTGATGTCGCCTGGGTGCCCAGCGAAGTCGGTCTCGGCTCTGTGCCGCAAAACTTGCAGAATGACTTCATTGATGATGGTGCGATCCGTGCTGCTGAAGCCATCAAAGCGGACCATGTAAAAGTAGAGCTCCAGGGCAAAGGGCCGCTGGATTTTCAAGAACACACTGCGACCTTTGGAAAATGATACCCAACCCTTCAAGTCAGGTTGAGTTGGATCAGCGGCACACGCTTTCACCAACAAGAAGGTGTCCCCATCCTGGTGACTTTCTTCTAAGATTTCCAGCCTGTAGCCCTTCTGCTGCAGCCCTGCCACCTCTGCCACCTCTTTCCGCATACTATGATCCAGTAGAGGGTGGCTCTTGGGAGCTTCAGAACTCAAGCCATAGATCTGCGGCCTCCTCGCATGACTCTGCTCCCAATGCAGGAAAAGCTCCATGGTCATCTTGGCGTCCGCCACTGAGTCATGGGCTTCGAGCAAACGTCGAAAGGTGCAGTGGAACGCTTCGGCCAAACGAACTTGGTTGTCCCATTTCCGGCTGCGATAGAAATCCTGCAGCTCCACCACATGGCATGTGATGGAATGGGCTGACCAATATGGAACCAAACTGTCATTCACATCCAGCGAGACCTTTCGCCGCCCGGCCTCAAGATCTGCAGCAGCCTTGGTAAAGCCTAGCGCTGCCATGTCATTCGCCAATGCCCAACCCACCAAAGCTGCTCTCTCTCCCGTTTTGGTTGGTTCAACCAACTGGCGAACGAGAGCCGTGATGCTATTTAATTCCATGCCTAAAGACCAGTTGGATTCAATGTTGCTGGCATTTCGAGCAAATGAATCATCTACAACCACAGCCCCCCGTGGTGTGCGAATTCGACAGTACAACATGGTCTCCAAATGGCGGTCGACAATGCCCACTGACACTGGAACCTTGTGTTGCACCATCTCACCGTGTTCATTCTTGAGCTCCACAGTGACAAATTCGCAATCAAAGGCGTAAGCTTGACAACCTTGACCAAGCTCATTCTCTTCAAGGTCGTTCTGCCCTTGCGCCTGTGCAGCCGGAAACTGTGCTCTTGGTCCTCCACTTGACGCGGCTGCATGCTGGGTGGGTGGAGGCTGGCCCAGTCCGCGCCCAGCAGTTTCAACTTGGGAGCTGGCCGAGTGCAAAAAGTGACAACTGGTCCCTTCTCGACATTGGCCAGCGGCTGCAAACTGGCACGGGATGCCCTTTCTTCCATCCGAGTGAGGATTGTGGCACCGAGAGCCCCGGCGACATGTCCCGGCCAAATGAAACTCGCAGAGCGGCCGTGCTGGAGTCGAAGGTCCACTTTGCTTAGCAAGTGGCAAGTCGCCTAAACAACCACCGGTTAGGGCAGAGACCACCTGCATGGTGCATGATCAATTTGCATACAATAAATTTACGGATTTGAGCTTCGCGGCTACCCTACGTCTTGCATCCGAGTGGTGGCATCTCCTAAACGAAAAGCAGCAGCTTCAGGAAATGTCCAGGCAGCTCCGAACAACATGGGCTATTGTCAAGAAAAAGCTCGCCCGCAACCCTTTCCATCTTCCTATTGCAAGCGAGTGCAAGCGCTGAGCACCAGGCATCAGCCATCGTCTATAATCAGGACACCTCAGAGCGGTTCGCAGAAGCGCAGACTTGCGGAATGCAAGATGTCATCTATTTCAGAATTCAAGAATACCAAATAGCATCAAATAAATTCAAATAACATCTATCGATATCTACCAGTGTGTACTATACTTTAATAGGGGGGCCCCCAACCAATGGGTTTTGGTCCATTGTCATTCTTACATCTTCTTACAGTTTACAGGGGGTCGAACTGGAAAATCTCCCTAGTTTAATACACACACGTATCAAGTGATGCGATGAAAACAAACCGCACCTTCAGAGACGTGCGGCTTCTCTTCCACACGCGCCCTTGCGCCATCTGGCCCTTTCCCTGAACCTCAGGATGGGGAACGCTACCTCATTGGAACTTGACTTACAGTATATACATAAACCCTTTGTTGCTGCTGCTGTTGTGGTGGTGGTTATTTGCACGTTGTTTCTCCGAGGGCCTGACAATCACATTCAAAGTCACCACTTGCACACTATATAATAAATGAAAGAAGCAGCGCGAAGCGAGGATACACTATGGGACCATGGGACATCCCTATGCTGATGCCCTGGTCCAAACAAAAGATCCCACACGCACGATCCTCGCTCCAACTGATGCGTGCATTCGTTGCATGACGTCAACTCCTGCCGACGCACTCCTGGGGCCAGCACAGTCGGCGCCCACCAGCCCACCAGCCATCGCGACCGGCGCTCTCTGTGGATGCCATTACTTGACTATCCCACAGACAGTAGCATGCAAAAAGTACTACAATACTGCTAAAAAATGCAATAGCTGCCTGCAGTTACGAGTTTGCGTCAGCAGTTTGCAAGTTGTCCCCAGCCAAATGTCAAAGACGCCATCTCTTCAGTCAAGGGCTTTCGCCTGTTGAAAGCCGCGTCATCTTTCAATTTTGGCATGGTTTGGCACTATTCTGACAATTCTCTCAAAATGACATGTCTGCTCGCCGAGTGTCATGTGCTTGAAACATATGCACCCAATACATGTGCAAAACACGAGGATACGTGTGGAGCCTCTGGCCATTGTCCTCATCAAACCTATATATGATAAGCAAGATCTTGGAGCACCTTTTGGCCACCTGCGCACAGCCTTCGTGATCTTCCTGACTTCTGCCACTACCTTCTTCAGATGGTGCGAAGCCAAGGCCACAACAACAGTCATCGACCTCCGGCGTTCGGAGAGTGGTCCAGCTGGGTGGGCGCGACGCCGCGTCTGCCACATGCGACGCCATTCGTAGTCCTCTGTTCTGATGATTCAACTGAAGTATGAGTCACATCTCCAACAAATAACAAAAGACTCTGGATGACTCTGGATGTCCTGCCCCCCACCCAACAACTTCAAAGATGATGCAATTGCAACTATGCTTAATTATCTGAACTTCAGATCTGCACTATCCTGAGTGATCATGGGACTTTTGCCCGCAATCCACTGCAGAACTAACAAGGTATTGTACCATGTTCGCACATGGTCTAGCAGCCAGCAGCTTCTGAACAATTTCCATCACACCCAAGCACAGCCACAAAAGGCATGGCCATGCACAACACCAAAAAATATGACCCCTTGTCCAAACATAAAAGACAACTGGCACCAACTTGCAGAAGCTGCATCAGTTGAGGCTGGGGATGTCTCCATCTTTCATTCATTCGTTGTCGTTGTAGTTGTTTGGATCCCTTCGTAGTGGATTTCCGCATGGAAAAGCACATGGATGGGATTACCGAATTCTGGCTCAATCTGAACCCAAGCCCTCTTCACATTGTCTGTGAGTATGCGAATCTCGCGCTGGTAGTGGTGGGCCAAAGCATGCAACGTGATGTTGTCACCCCAGTCCCCCTCTGACATGCCCTTGATATACTCGTCCAATGCCCTCTCCAGCCCGTCATCTAGGACATTCTCTGTTAGAGTGGCCAGCGGAGAGCTTGCTGCTACCATTTTCAACTTGTATTCATCTCTGTGCTGTGTGATCCATTGGACCGCATTGGCACGCACAGTCTGATGGTCCTCGCCTACAGCAAATCCAACCGAATGGAATTGGCAGTGCCCATCGCTGGGGGACTTGCGCAGTGTCCAACCCTTGCCTCGCAAGATGCACCTTTGGAGTTGCGAAGGCTCAATGTGATCTGCACAGCTTCGAAGAACCAAGCTCTGCTGCTGCTCCACATAGCCACGGAACTGCAGCACAAACCTGGTCACAGGGCTTACATGTGGGAAAACAACGCGCAACGCTTCAAACGGTCTCTCTTGAATCTTCAAACCCCCAGACCCCGAATCAAGGACCGCTTTGTCACGGCACCTGGATCTCACTTCCACCGACATCTCGAAGCTTTCCCCAAGCACTGCAAGGAGAAGTGGCTCAAGAATCTCGCCCATCATGTTGGAATCGTCCCAAGCCAAGGCCACACGCTCAGCATCACTGCTCCGAATCGTCACTCCTTACCGTTCCGGGCGCTCAAAACATCCGTAGCTAGCTCTGGTTGGCTGCTTCTTGGCACTGTCACTCCCGCCGCAGAATCCTGCTGAATTACCTCTACACTAAACTCGGCAAATGCCCGCCGCAGTTATTTGTTTCTAAAAACCTCTTTACCCCCACATGCAGTTGCTCAGTTGGGCTTTACACAGTGTCAGTTGATCTGTGACCAGTCCAACAAACGAAGTCCACAAACAGAGTAGAGCCAGCTACTCAAGAAGCACTTGCACTGTGGCTGCCCCGCGCACAGAATACAAGGATCTGCCGTGAAGCCAGAATCAAGAAGCTAAAGCAGCTGTGCAAAAAAATAAATGTCAGAGCTATATACATGGGGGTTCGGGCAATGCACAAATGTGTCTTCAAAAGTCTAAAAGCCTTGCCGCGGAGTTGCTATCAAATTACAAGATAGTTAAAGCAAAAGAACATGCAAACAACTGGATTGAGTCGCCAACAAGGAGGCCAATACTTAAAGAACAAGAACAAACGATGAGAGGGGCTGTAGTGCAAGTAGAAAAGGGCTGCCACTAAACACCCGAGGTAGGAAACTGAAAACTAGTATGAACAGGCCACGACCAGCATGCTCCAAAGATGCCAGCGGCAACACTGCGTGCTACATCCACTCAACAACAGTAGAACAAAAAGGTGATGTCAGAGCCCTGGAGTCAAGCACCTCATCCCGCCAATTCATGTCTACAAAGCAAACATAACTGCAGGAGATCGAACAAACATTGTGGTTTTGCAACTTCCAGAATTGAGCAGGTTCTATCTACATCTGTGCCCACAAACACACACAAGTTGCGCTTGCCGACAACCTGGGGGACTTGTGGCACCTGTTGTCTCCGTGAGGTATTGACGCGAGGAGTTGACGCAAGCCGCAAGCAGTGCTTCTCAACAAGGATCTCTGGACTTGATCCCGCCCATTGAAAATGACTGTGAATCTGCAACCAATGAGAAAGGTATTGCTCTAAAGCTGCTGCCATGGCTCCGGATTGGCTTGCGGGACTTGAGTGGGCACCCCCTGTTGGTCGTCGACTGTCAACAAACTTCTGAAGCACGTCGCGCATGAAATCAGAACCTTAGGTTCTGAGGCCGTCAAGGTGGCTGGATCCAAAGTAAGCATTTTTGCCTCGATCTATGTCTGGAATTGCTGCTAAAAACAAATATTGAATCTACCATGAAGACCAAAGAATCCCGGCCTTCTAGCCCATTGCCCATGGCATTGACCTGCCAAGAACAATGAAAATTGCACATGGAACCACTGAGACTGTCGCATGCAAACAACCCAGCTGAGGAGTGCGTCTTTGCGCCCCGGTCGCAAATGATGTGAAAACCTCTGGCCTGCTGCTCTTGTCGCTGACATTCGGCAATTGATCTGGCGCTGCCAGCTGCCTGGCACAATGAGGAAAGCTGTGATGCAGGAACTGGTCATCAACCATACACGAGCCTTCAGGCCCTCATTGATTCAGTGAGACCTCTGGTTGGTTTGACTCACACCCACGCGTGCCTCAACAGTCGCCCTCCGTCCTTCGTTCGCCTCCTGTGGAGGACTGATCACTTCCCACTCCTCTTCCTCCGATTCAAAGCCCTGCTCCTAAGGTGGGCCAATTCACGCGAAAGCGATGTGGCATGTAAGAGGCTCAGCTCAAGTATATTCGTGGGGTTGAACTAATACGCCGATCCGCCTCAAATATCATCTATCATCATCTATAAATCTATTTTCCAAGGGCTAATGGCTAATTGATAGCACTTGTGACCAAAAGGAAGGCGCTCCTTGTTCTGAGCACTGAATCGCTTTGCCTTTCGAGGACGTTTCCCACGACCAGCCTTTGGTTGTCGCCAGCCAGACTGGGCCAAACCCTTCGCCATGCCACCGGCTATGGCTGGGTCAGTGCAGGCAGCAAGGACAGGCTTGGGAGGTGCCAAGTAAGGTTCACGGATCTGAGACCACACAGAACGGTAGAGCTTCAAGGCTGTCATGACATGCCCCTGATTCCAATCATTCCAGTACTCCAAATCAAGTGGGACCGGCATGTCAAGGAGTGCTTTAGCTTCCTCCCCTTTGTCCACCCCAAGTTCTTCAAGCTCATCCAATACATCCATCTCCTTGACAAGCATGCACAAACGAGGGGCTTCTCGAGGTTGATCAAGATCAGGGATCGCCAGCGGCAAATCACTCGCCAAGTAAACAGTCCGAGCCACCAATCGACATACCATTGCAAGCGCTTGTGGGCACGTTTCCTTAAGCTTCTCCAAATCCTGTTTCAGGGAGGCTGGAGGATCCAAAGATTCCGTGTACTCCTCTCCGGTATCCCTCGTCTTGATGCTGACCCCTCTGATCATGGCAAGCATGTCTCTTGAAAGCAAGTGAAGAGCGACAAGCCCATTGAGAGGAACTGTGGCGATGTCTGGCAAGCCTGCCTTGGTGGCGCAGCGTCTCGGCAATTCACGCGCGCACACACACACACAAACATGCAAAGTCACAACACGCTTCGCACGTGTGTTTGTTTTGTGCCAGAATGACATTGCCTTTTGCCGTTGTCTTCGCGCAACTGTGACCCGCAACTCTGTGCACAAAAACGCGAACAGGCACAACTGAGCACCCCACAATGCGCATCAGCGCATCAGGGTGATGTTCACATTTGCGATCTTGGTGAGGCACCTTATCAACCAATGTGAAAACCTCCACGAACTCCTGGAGTGTCATGTCACTACGGAAGGCGTGCGCAGACTTAACTCCAAGAACAAGTGCGATGAGATCTCCTGTGATCTTGCTCACCTCCACTGCATGCGAGGCATCACGAAAGAAAGAGATCTCAAGATCTTCCGCTTTTTGAACTCCAATCGCTTCGCTGAGAGCAACTTGTTCCGCCAGCCGGCAGCCCTTAAGCCTGTTCAAAATTCGCACATCTACGATCCCATGGAAAATTCGATATGGGAAGGCATCATAGTCTTGGTGCAAATCCTTGTGGTCCTGGCAGCCAGGCACTCTCAAAGTCACATGTGCCATGTCATGTTGAATAGCATATCAATATATATATATATATATACACCGCGGGGAGAATGACTGGCACAACTCGGAAAGAACGGGAGGGCGAGTAGATGGCACCTCGGGACACTTTTTTGGCCAAATTTCAGGGGGGGGTAGGTAGATGGCACAAGGTTTTTGATGGGTAGTGATTTTGGGACCGGGGCCACGAAAAAATAGATGGCACAAGGTTTCTTACGCTCCCGTGGGAAGTAGGATGGGTGTGCGTTCAGAATTGATGGCGCAAGCCATCCAGCCTTTTGATTTCCTGTGGATTCCTTTCTGTTTCCATTCATGGCTATGGTTTTCCTTTTGGTGCCTATTGATTTCCTGTTGAAACCATTTGACTTCCTGATGATTGCTATTGGTGTTCCTTGTTGTTCCTTTTGGTTTCCTTTTGATGTCCCAGTGAAGCCTTTCGATTTC